CATTTCACAGTACGCCATCCAGCTCCAGGCCCTGTGCTAAGAATTTGATGGTTTTCTTTGTAAAGCTCATGGTGTGTACAGGTGGGCACTCTTAGACACCCCATTTTATAGCAGTCTAAATGGAGACTCAGACCTCATGTGATTTACTCAGGACTCCCCAGTAAGCAGGAGGCCCAGCATTCGGCCTCACACCTCTCTGAGTTTTGTTTGCCATCAATGTGACTCTAAGGGGGAGCTGAGAAAATTGGGGCCACCCGATCGTGGGTTCTGCTCAGAGGAATTTGACCTTTGTCTGGGTTAAAAAATTGTAATCTATAGATTGCAGTTGTAATTGTAGACACTGTAGATGGGCAGTTCATACAAATCCTGTTTATCTCCCCTGTTCTGGAGGCTGAAGTCTAAGGTGAAGACAGATTTGGGGCCTGAGAGCTTGTCCCCTGTTGAGAGCCGATGTCTTCACGTGTCCTCACGTGCTAGGAGGGGTGAGCTGTTGGGGCGTTTGCAGAAAGGGCGCCAGTGTCATTCTGGGGAGTTCTGTCCCCAGAACCTAATCACCTCTGGATGGCCCCACTGTCTGCTGCCCTCCTCCCGAGGGTGAGTAGCTCAGCATGGGAATTCAGGGGACACAGCCCGGCCACACGCACACACACACACACGCACACACACACGCACACACACACGCACACGCACACACACACACACACACACACACACACACACACACACCACTGATGAGGGTTAGTAGCTTCTGTGTCATGGCTGCCTGTCATGAACATGCTGTATTGCCCATGTGGCCAAGCTAGCTGTGGCGCTGTGGGTGGGGACACGCTGGACCGTGCTGCATCGCTTGCTCCCTAGGGTGCTTCCAGCTGAGCTAAAGCAACTCCTACCTCCCCATGCCTGCCCAGCTCCTCCACTCAGGGAAAGCACCCCTGTATCCACGCCATCTCTGCTGGACCGGGGACCTCACCCAGACCTGACTGGGCTGTGCCCTCTTCTGATTTCTGAGCTGGTCCTGTGCTTTTGATCCCAGTTTTGGTTCTCTTGGTTTCAGATGTGAACAGACAGTTCTTTGCTCTTCTCAGCAGGGATGCCAGGTCCCTAATGTTCCTTGCGAGGCTGGCGGCCTTTCCTAAGCACTCACCGAGGTGTTTCCACAGGGCCTCAGTGGCCGTGTGTTGACCACGGCACAGGAGCCGTGGGCGTGGTTGAGCAGAGGACACACTTGTGATGGCTCCTGGGCTTGGGAGTGGGCTCAGCCTTCTGGACACTGCTAAACCTCCTCGGTCCCTGTGGTTGTTCCTCATATAGCCTCTGGAGTTGGACTTTATCTTTTTTTTTTTTTTTTTTTTTTT